GGGTTTCTGGGTTTCCGGCAGAACCGATGGATGAGCCTCTGCTTTCGTTTCTGAGCCAGAGGGAGACTAACAATGTCTCTCCTCTTCCTATTCCCATAACGGCATCATCTTTCTTTAAGGATAGGATCATCTTTGGTCCTTCTCCTACCAAGCAATCATATTTATCTCCTCCTGTTGATGCCTTGACTCTGTCTCGTAATTCATCCAGAGCGTCTTGTTCCCCTTCTCTGGAAAAATTGATTACCATTCATGAGATTCAGGACCCGCTTCTGCAGCAACAGCGGCGATCCCAATTGCACATTTCTCTGCAGAGTTCTTGGTTGGTAGACCCGAATTACAAAGGGGCCAAAAGCAATCTTCACAGGTCCAAAACCGTGCCGGCTATGGCTGAGATCAATGAAGTGACCGGCCACCCTGCAATTCCTAAGCGTCAATCTAGTTCACAGTCGATCGTAAGACAAGCTTTGTTCTCCTGTTACTGTATCTGTCGTTGGGTGTGATTATCTATTGGTGTAATCGTGATAAATTCTCTGGTTATGAGACACACCCTGTTGTTGATGCATTATAGTTTTGTATTGTGACAATGTGCACGATTAGGTATGGTGATATTACCCACAATAGTGTTGCCACAAAGTTGTTTTCTATACTGTTTGTGTTGGTGGGTTTTGGGTTTATTGATATACTGCTTAGTGGGATGGTTAGCTATGTGCTTGATTTGCAAGAGAGCGATCTGCTGAGAACTGTTAAGCATGAAGCTGGTAAAAAGGATCCGAAATCATACATAATAGATGTGAAGAAAGGGAGGATGAGAATCAGAATGAAAGTGGGATTGGCATTAGGTGTCGTGATCCTTTGTATTGGAATTGGTGTTGGTGGTATGCATTTTGTTGAGAAGCTTGGGTGGTTGGACGCCTTCTACCTTTCAGTTATGTCAGTTACAACAGTTGGGTACGGTGACAGGGCATTTAAGACGTTGCCTGGTAGGATCTTTGCTTCTATCTGGTTGCTTGTGTCAACCCTTGCAGTTGCTCGGGCATTCTTGTATCTTGCCGAGGCTAGAGTGGATAAGCGGCATAGGAAGATGGTGAAGTGGGTGCTTGGACATGACTGTCTCAGAGTTTCTTGCTGCGGATATTGATAACAATGGCTTCGTGAGGTAATGCATTTCGTCTTATTAAGTCATTCAAAACATTATGGGCTTGAGGTTCATAGATATAAAATTTTCTTGCCTTAGTTTTTCTTTCTTTAACCTCTGGTTTTGTTAGCTTATTTATTGGCATTGAATTTTTGGGGAGACGAATTTTTATATTTAGTTTCAATGGGAGAATTCTAGACAGATGGATATTTACTGTTTTTCTTTCCCCATTAACTTAGATGATGAAATAATATGGAGTTGTGACTGCATTTATGCTTCAGTTGGATTGCGTTTCATATGTTCCATGCGCTATAATTTGGGTTATTGTATACACAACAACCCAAATTATCACTTAGCAGAATCTGATTGAAAGCTCTTCTGATGATTAATCGTACATAATAGTCACGTGCATTTGATTTTGGTTGAGCACCGGTGAACAATGGAGAATATATGCTCGTATCAAAATATTGCACTTTGTAGCTCGAGATATTTATTTTCTTATGATTGAATGTAGTTTGCACTGAGGAAAGAGTATACTTATCTTTCTTCTCAGGCTCAAAATATCTTGATGACAAGTCATGTTTTCCATTTACCCCCTCCTTTGGTGAACATCTATGCTTGCATTATGTTACCATTAACTTGATAAGCATGTAACGTGATGTAGCTTTAAATATCTCTTTCTTCTTGATAAGTAAATCTTATAACTAAAAGTTCCTGGATCACCACGTTTTTTTGACGATGGATGCTCACAGTTAGTTTTTGTGGGTTAAAGCTAAGTGGAAAAATCAAAGAAGACAGAGCTAGTTAATTCTTCCAAGCTTTATACCGTTCTAAAATGCTGATGATTTTTGCTGATTGGTACTTTGAGTCTGTGTGGAAACTAGTGATATGCTGGCTTGTTTATAAGGTTTCTAAAGTTTAAAGTTGTGACCACCTGTTCTCGAAAACTGTTTCCCACATCATAGCACCTTGTAGTAGAGGGAAAAGATAACCTGACTTTATCGTCTCTTTTTGCTTTCTTGTTCACTTATAGTTCTTTTCAGGTACTTGTCTTTGATGATGGCAATAATAAGATGGTTGAGCGGCTTGAGCCCAAATATTGTTCTTTTGAGCAAATTCTTCTCAAGTATATGGCAGCTTCATTTTGCTTTACTATCTTTTGTCTACTTGAAGGAAGTCTTGTTGTTAAAATATTCTTTATAGTCTCCTATGTCAACTTCATTTTCCGTAGTCTTTATTGGTTTTATCAATTTTACACGATTTTTTTCTTCACAGCGTTTTGCTTTCTGTTGACTAAGATTGAACGGAAACGTGGTTACTGGTTAGCATGATTCATTGTTGTTTGTTCATGTCTATATCATGTATATACAGTAAATCAGAATATGTCATATACAAGCTCAAGGAGATGGGGAAGGTCTTGGAGAAGGACATCCTGCAGATCTGCCAGAAGTTTGACAGACTTGATGCTGGCAAGAATCATCATTGAGATGCAAGTGAAGATATGGCTAGCTTACATCCATGTGAATCTAATTAAGAGATTCACATGAACATCAATCCTTGGTGAGTTTTGTTCCTCTTCCTTGTGCAAAATGCTGTTTTTGGTCAGATTGCAGAGATAATTGGACAAAGTCTGCTCAGGGTGTCAATGATTTTGTACCAAAACCGTCTTTGCATAAACAAAGTAAATAATTTGATTTTCTAAAGATCCTTCCATCCTCCTATTGTCTTTTTTTTTCTCCCTATAGTGTAAATGTTTAACAATCATGGAATGAAGTTAAACCTCTCCTCTCTCTCTGCTCTTGATGATATATTATTTACCTTTTTTTTTTTTTTAATATAAAGACGAATTTTACGATAGAGATAACACTGCACTTTTTCAAATCCTCTCTTCATACTTTTCAAAATTTAGAATATTGAAAATGAAATCTCTTAAAAGTAGTTAAATTCACTTGTCATATTAAGAAATATACTTTTGTTTTCGATGACATTTGGGTTCAAAACGTGATCAATGAAAATACATTGCAACCACCTAGTCCTAACTTTAGACGATTGTTCAAATATTTTAGGAGTGGTTATATCCACAAAAATTATAATGTGTGTATTTAGTTTGATTAATATTATATCATATATAGGTTTTTTTGAAAAAATAAATAAAAAAATCAAAAAATATTAATTTATAAAATAATTTTAATTTATTAAATAATAAATATGAACAATTTTATCAATTATTAATAATTTTTAATAATTAAACTAAACAAAATAAGTGTAATTTTTGTAATCATAATTTCACCACGCTTTGGGCCTAAGTCATGGTGCCTGTCCCAAAAACTTTGGAATGTCCAGTCCTGTCGGCGAATGATATGAAGTTATGACCTGGTCATTGCAATGTTTTTCATTGATTTCAACGTACCAATTGTTGTTTAGGGTCAAATTCCAAGTCCTGCATTTTGCCAATAAGACTATAAGAGGACATCATAATTGCACCTTCAATCATGTGAAAGCACGAGTTGTGTTTAATTGAATTGTAGGCATCGTCTCTACTTCCTATGCTGCCTTCTAGAAATATTGAGGAGCTCTCTTAATTTCAAACTCTATTATTTTCTACTCGTATGAGCTTTCTTATGTAAGGCGCAGTTGTTTGACCTGGACAAACAACCTTTTCCCTTTTCATTTTTACACTAGTGGATGCAACTTGTTTATCAATATTTTGCATCTCTTTCTACCAAAAAAAGAAAAAAGAAGGGTTGAAACTTGTTGCTTTTAATTGTTTGTTTAGTTCATGGAAAATAGGAAAGAAAAAGAAATATGTTGTATCTTATTTTTACAATTACAAATTCATATTTTAGAGATCTAGATAATTAAACTTATAATCTTTTGGATATGTACTCTTTTTTTAATATTTGAAGGAAAGGGAATTAAAATTCTTCTTTCAAAGGTCACGTACCAATAAAAATAAATTGTGATATCAAGTTTGAATTTTATTTATTTGAAATTTATATTCAAATATGGCCATGATTAGAATCAATAGTAAAGAAAATAGACTAGTCCACTTTTGTATAATTCACCCCCACATAATCTGCGAACTAAATTTAGATCCATCAAACTTTCTATGGCCAAACAAAAAAATGAAAAAGGAAAATTAAACAGGAGTTTGAATTGAAGTCAAGTCTTATACAAAGTGCACATCCGGTCCAACATTGTGACACCACCAGCAACATCCGTGCCATCTTTTCCCTGCAATTTGGGTAGAAGAATTTGAGGAAGTTTGATTTTGAAAGCCCGAAAAGCAGCCTTTAGACCATAAATGCAAATAAAAGTTCATTTCCTCCATCAAGTTAAAATCTTTCAAAAGCTTCACTCTCCAAAGACTTGATCAAAGCAATCCCTCGGATACCATACTCAACCTTCTCATCATATCTTTGAGATTAAATCATGATACCCTTTTGAAATTTTCAATTGGGTTTTCTATATATATAATCTTAATGGAACATGATATTTACATTAACATGTTTTTGTCAAAAAAATTATTTTCTTATAACTTTTTCTGGTAAGAAATTGAACCTTTTTTTTAAATTAACGTGAAGAACAAAAACACTTATCAACAAGATCTAATATTTTAAAGATTTACATAACTTATAATTATGGAATAATATATATCACAAGACAAGTTAAGTATGTTTATGATCTAAAGATGCTAACTAAGGTAACAACTCACGCAAGATAACAAGAATTCTCTTCAATCTTATCATTGCATCGTGACTAAATTTGTTTACTTTTTTGAATTATGAAGAACGACATTGTATAATCTTGACTATATGGGACCAAAGACCATGAATGAAGGAATAAATGAATGGTTTTTAATTAGAAGTGTAAATTATGGATCACGGCAAGGCAAAGTCAACTCATCCACGATTGCAATTTGTGAAGGGATTATAATTGGATGCCCCATCAAACTAGTAATACTAGATTAATTACTTGGTAAAAAAGAGTCCTTTCACTTTAAACTACAATTACTAGTTGGTAAAGTGGTAGGGTCACATTTAATTAAAAATTTAACTTATGAAAGTAGGGTTACAATAAAATATTTATCCTAGAACAAAAACTTATAATTTTTAAATAGAATGTTTTTTTAACATGCATTCTTGAAGCATGAATTAATGGTATATTTATTTTATCTTTTAATAATTAATTATTATTAAAAAGTATAAAATAAACATTATTTTCAAAGCTAATGTCATACTAATGACTTTAATTGAAATTTTGATAAAATTAAAATTAAATTTTATTTCTTTTATAGAAATTAATTACGAGTACTATATATATATATTCTTAGTTTGTGATTAATAAACATATATTAAAAAACCCTAAATAAATTAAATTAAAAATATGAAAATTATTATAAGTAGTTAGAATGAGCCAATAAATTAAGTAGCCTAATGATAATTTCTTCTTTAAAAAGCTAAGAGACTTTTATTTGAATGGTTACAAGTAAGAGGTGAATAGAGGAACATGTAAAGGGATGGACAGAGGCAGCCTCCCATTCGCCAAAGTGAAATTCAGGTAGAGAAAAAAAAAAAAAAAAGGTTAGAACGGGTCCAATTGTCTTTTGACTAATGAAGAATCAAACCTTTGTTAAGACGTTCACTTAAAAGCTTAATTAAGTTAGGTTGAGATGCTTAAATGGATTTAATTAAATTTAATCATCATAGGAAATTAGGAATTCTTTTGCTTTATTTATATTAAAGTTGCAACTATATGATATTAAGAAATTTACCGCGCGTGGTTTGTAAAATAGGCTCTATTTAAAAAAAAAAATTAAAATTTAGAAATCTTGGCCCATTGAAAACAGTCCAAGTGGAGTAGATGGTGATTTGTGATTGGCCCACGTTGACTTTCGCTTTCAGGATCAATTCGAAGTAGATAGATAATATTAGGAAAGGACTTACGGTGATATAAAGGTACTATAGATTAGTAATATTGATTCGATTATACTTGCATCTAATTAGCTATTCTTTTACTTACTCCTCTAATTGGATTTAGTTATTTTATTTTTTAAATAGAGGTGGTTTGATGATTAGTTGCCTCATTTTTTATTTTAATAACACATTAAATGTCATCAATGTTTTATTAGTTTGAATAAAAAAATTTTGATTTTTTTTAAATAAAGTTATAAGTTCTATTTTTGTGAACGAAGGAACATATTTTAGGAGGGTTTTCTCTCTTATGAAATCTAATCTAACTTAACTCTAAATTAGTCAAAACTTCTAGATACTGAAAGATTAGTAAAAAAAAAAAAAAACACATTAAATGTTAATATTTTAATTTTATCTTTATCTCAAAAGAGATAGAAATATTTTAAAATTTTTTTTTCACTTAATTATAAGTAAGGGTGAAAATAAGAAAATAAGTTCTAATTATTATAATAAGTAAATTTTTTGATAATTATAAGTAGATAAAATGAGATAACTAAATACATAAGAGGGAGTAATTAAATTGGGGATCAACTCTTAACTTGAATTTAAATATTTTAGATGGTTTTAAAATGATGAGCAAATTGAATTCAAAACCTTCTCTTTAAAGGAGAGGCGTGATGACACTGCTAATTATAATTACAATTACGACTTATTTAAGTAATTATGTAATGTTTTGTCTAATGCAATTTTCAAGCGAACCAAACCAAGAACGAAGTTTCATGAAATCCACTATTTCTTGCACTATAAGGATATATAAGCAGTCTATTTCTACCCCTTCATCGGGTAATTAACTTTCACTTTTTGGGCTAACTTCTGCATTTTACGATTTACTCCAAAAGTCTTCTCAATCCCGTTCAATAAATTAGATTGCTTGTGCTTTGCCATTGATTTTAATAGATAATTGACATTGGAGCTTAAAGGATGTTAACTGCTGTAAATTAAGAATGATTTTCTGTTGCGTCACATAAGCTGCCATATTAATATCTTGAGAACTACGTATTCCTACCTGTCGCAGCACATTTTATTAGCTCTTTTGGAAAGCTTTCTCTATTGGTTATTTGGAGATTAATGTCTTAGGGTGCTTTTGGGGTTATGAGTTGGGAGTTTTTTCGTGCAATTACACAACACTTTTAAATATATGTGTGTTTGATAATTTTTTTTCATATTGCTTTTTTTAAAAATTATAAAAAATTACAGTAGATTTACAGTAATTTTATATATAAAATCAAAAACTTTATTTTAGAGTTTTTTCATTGTGATTTTTACAGAAAATACTTAATATTTAATATAGTTATAAAATTACCCATTAAAACTTAATTTTATATAATTTAATTACATCATATTTTATAATATTTTAATAATGATAATAAATTAAAAAACTTAAAATATTAAAAAATAATAAATATTATCTACTTCAATAATTATATATCTCATAATATTTTTAAAATTTTAATTAATAATTAATAAAATCTAACATATTTCATCTATAATATTTTTTTAAAAAAATAATGAGACAACATAATAACTTTTAACTACAATTATCATACAGCACAATTCAACATAACCATAATTACAGTCATAATACTTCATATCAATCCCAAACGCATCTTTAGTTCATGGTTGTCTGTCCGATGCAAAAGTGCCTTTTTTTTAAAGTAATTAATATTTTTTAAAAAAATTTTAGATTACATAATAAAAAGTAGTATTTTTTTTATTATTTTAAACTT